GGGTGCCCCTGGGTGCACGGGGTGGGTACAGGTGGATTGGGGTGCCCTGGGTGCAAGGGGGGGGGTTTGGGTGCCCCCAGGTGCAGGTGGGCTTGGTCTGGGTGGGTTTGAGTGTTGTGGGGTGCAGGGGGTTTGGGGTAGGTGGTTTGAGGTGCCCTGGGTGCAGGGGGTTTGGGGTGCCCTGGGTGTAGGGGTTAGATGCAGCAGGGTTGGGGTGCCCCTGGGTGCAGGGGGGTTGGTCTGGGTGGGTTTGGGGTGTCCCTGGGTGCAGGGGGGTTGGTCTGGGTGGGATGGGGTGCCATGGGTGCAGGGGTCGGGTGCAGTGGGGTTGGAGTGGGTGGTTTGGGGTGCCCTGGGTGCAGGGGGTTTGAAGTAGGTGGCTTGGGGTCCCTTGGGTGCAGGCAGGGGTTGGTCTGGTTGGGTGCTGTGGGTGCTGTGGGTTTGGTGTGGTGGGTTTGGGGTGCTGTGGGTGCAGGGGGTGTGTGCGGGGGGGGCTTGGGGTGCCCTGCATACTGGGGGCTATGGCAGGGTGCTGGGCCAGGGGTGCTGGGGCTGCCCGGCACCCCCCGGGACGCTCGACCCCCGACTCCTGAAGGGACTGTGCCTTGACCGTGTGTCCCCCCCCCAACCCTGGCAGCTGAACCCCAAAGTGAGTGCCTTCCAGCGGCGCTTCGTGGGCGAGGTGCGGCGCTGCGAGGAGATGGAGAAGACCTTCAGTGAGTGCCGGGGGGGACGCGGGGGCTGACTCGGGGTGGAGGAAGAGGAGGTGGGGGGGGGCTGCTCAGGGGTGGGTTGATGCCCCCCCCACATCTGACCACGGTTCTCGCAGCCTTCCTGCATCAGGAGCTACGGGGTGCTGGGCGGGTGCTGGAGCCGTGTCCCGAGAACCCGCGGGCGCCGCTGGCGCGGGAGGCTCTGCGGGTGCAGGAGCAGTCGGAGCAGCTGGCGCAGGAGCTGCGGGAGGTCAGCCGCAACCGGGCCTCCCTGCGCGGGCGCCTGCGGGAGCTGCGCCAGTACCTCCACGTCCTACGTGAGGGCCAGCGCTTCACCAGTTTGCCGGTGGGTCCTGGGGTGGGGGGAACGGGGACCCGCCATCCCGGGGGTGCCGCCCTTCGCCCCGCAGCTTCAACTTTTTGCTCGCCATCGTCGCAGGCCCCCCTGGGCTCCCCGCCGCGGCCCCGGGCGCTCTCCGAGCGTGAGCCCGTCCTCGACCCTTCCCTGCACCAGCACCTTGACCGCAAGATCAAGTAAGTGATGGCTGGCGTGTGGGACGGGGGTTGGAGAGGGGTCGTGGGCAGTGGCGTGGTTGTGGGGCAGTGGGGACGGCTGTAGGGTAAGGGTTGGAGACGGTCTGTGGGGCAACGGCACAGCCATGGGGCAGGGACAGCTGGTAAGGGTACAGGGTAAGGGTTGGAGACGGGCCGTGGGGCAACGGCACGGCCGTGGGGCAGCTGGGAAAGCTGCGGGATAAGGGTTGAAGGTGAGCCGTGGGGCAGTGGTCAATGGCCACGGCTGTAGGATAAGGGTTGGAGATGAGCCACGAAGTAGCGGCGTGGCCGTGGGGCACCTGGGACGGCTGTAGGATAAGGGTTGGAGATGAGCCATGCGGCAACGGTGTGGCTATGGGGCAGGAAAAGTGGGTAACGGTATAGGGTGAGGGTTGCAGATGGGCCACGGGGCAGTGGTATGGCCGTGGGGCGTAGCTGTAGGATGAGGTCTGGGGGGGAACCATGGGGCAGGGGCAGCAGCAGAGCCGTGCCCATCCCAGAGCCCCCGCCGTGTCCCTGCAGCTTCGTGGCTGGCGTCATTCACCCATGGCGAGTGAACGCCTTCGAGCGGCTGCTGTGGCGCGCCTGCCGTGGCTACCTGGTGGCCAGCTTCGTGGAGATGCCCGAGCCCATGGAAGACCTGGCCACGGTGAGCGGGGCACTGGGCTGGGGGCTGGCAGGGAAGGGGGGCCGGGACAACTGGGGCTGACTTGGGCTATGCCGTCCCCAGGGTGAGAGCATCACCTGGGTCATCTTCCTCATCTCCTACTGGGGCGAGCAGATCGGGCAGAAGATCCGCAAGATCTCGGACTGGTGAGCCAGTGGCCCTGCACCATGTGTCCGGCCACGCAGAGGTTTATTTAGCAAAACTGCTTTGGACTCCCCACGGTGGGGGGGAGTGGTGCCCCCGGGGAGCCCTGGCACCCCCCAACACGTCGGCGTCCGTCTGTCCCAGCTTCCACTGCCACACATACCCCTACCCAGAGAGCGAGGCCAGCCGGGCGGACACCATGAGCGGGCTGCACAACCAGATCCAGGACCTCAGCGTGGTGAGCTGGGCACCACAGGGAGGACTGGGGGGCCGCGCCAGGACCCCCCTCCCCGGTCCCTGACCCGTGCTGGGTGCCTGCAGGTGCTGGAGGAGACGGAGCAGTACCTGGCGCAGGTGCTGGACAAGGTGGTGCTGGCGCTGCCCACCTGGCGGGTGCAGGTGCAGAAGATGAAGGCCATCTACCTCATCCTCAACCAGTGCAGCTTCGATGTCACCGAGAAGTGCCTCATCGCCGAGGTCTGGTGCCCCGTGCGGGACCTCACCCAAGTGCAGGACGCCCTGCGCCAGGGATCGGTGGGTTGCTCGGTGTCCCCGTGTCCTCATGCCCGAATTTTCTCGGTGTCCCCATGTCCTCGTGCTGGGGTTGCTCGGTGTCCCCGTCTCCTCTGGCCACGGTGGAGGGGGTGCCCGGGCAGGGGGTTGCCGTGGGTCAGGCGCCGGGCGCTTTCCCCGCAGTACAAGAGCGGCTCGAGCGTGGAGTGCTTCGTGCAGCGCATCCCCACCTCGGAAAGCCCCCCCACCCTCATCCGCACCAACAAGTTCACTGCCGGCTTCCAGAGCATCGTGGACGCCTACGGGGTGGCCAGCTACCAGGAGGTGAACCCCGGTAAGGCCCCCCCAGCCCCCTGCCACAGCTCAGGGCTGAGGCGGGGGGGCCCCGTGTGACGTGGTCCCTTGTGCCCCCCGCAGCGCCCTACGCCATCATCACCTTCCCCTTCATCTTCGCCATCATGTTTGGGGACGTGGGGCACGGGCTGCTCATGTTCCTCTTTGCTCTCTGGATGGTGCTGTACGAGAACAGCCCCAGCCTGCGGCAGGCCAGCAACGAGGTGAGGGGGACGTGGCGGGGGGCCAGGCTGGGAGGCGTGGGATGGGGTTGGTGGTACGGGATGGGGCTGCTGGTGTGGGACAGGGACAGTATGGGGCAGGGTTGGTGGTGTGGGAGGGGGACGGCGTGGGGCAAGGGAGGTGGTGTGGGACGTGGGAGTCGCGTTTGCCCCCACCAGATCTGGCTGACGTTCTTCGAGGGGCGCTACCTCATCCTGCTCATGGGGGCCTTCTCCATCTACACCGGCTTCATCTACAACGAGTGCTTCAGCAAAGCCACCGTCATCTTCCCCTCCGCCTGGAGCGTGGCCACCATGGCCAACCACTCCTCCTGGAGGTGGGACTCCCAACCCCCCTGTGAAGCTTGCCCGGGTCCCTGCCTGCGCTGACACCCCCTCGCTCTGCCCACAGCTCTGCCTACCTCGCCACCCATCCGTCCCTCACCCTGGACCCCAACGTCACTGGCGTCTTCCAAGGGCCCTATCCTTTCGGGATCGACCCAGTGAGTGTCCCATGGAGGAGAGGATGGGGTGGGACCCTCGGTGGGCTGGCCCAGAGTCTCACCCACCTTGTCCTCCACGACAGATCTGGAGCTTGGCCACCAACCACCTCAACTTCCTCAACTCCTTCAAGATGAAGATGTCCGTGGTTCTGGGCATCGTGCACATGGGCTTCGGCGTCCTGCTGGGGGTCTTCAACCACGTGTGAGTCCCCGTGGCTGTGCCCACGAGCTCTGGCCACCCGTGGTCGTGCTAAGGAGACCGGGGCTGGACTCACCCGGGTCGGGGTGGGTGAGTGGGGTCCTGTACCCCTACATCTGGGTGGGAGCCCAGGACACGCGAGGGTGCGCCATGCCAGGCTGAGAGTGGCTGATGTCCCCCTGCCCAGGCATTTCCAGCAGCGGCACCGGTTGGTGCTGGAGCTCCTGCCCGAGATGGTTTTCCTCCTGGCTCTTTTCGGCTACCTCGTCTTCCTCATCTTCTACAAGTGGGTCAAATTCAGCGCCGCTGACTCCCTGGTGGCCCCCAGCATCCTCATCCACTTCATCGACATGTTCCTCTTCACCTCCAACGCTGGCAACCTCCCGCTCTACCGGGGGCAGGTAGCACCCCACCAAGATGCAGGGGGGGACCCCGCGCCCACCATTCTCCTTGCCCAAGCTGGGACCAGTGGGGAGCCCTGCAGGGGCTGGTGTGGTTGAGGAGGGGGTCCCCCCTGTGTCACGAGCAGGGCCGTTCTCAGCTCGGGTAGCTGGTGCTGGAGGGGACCCCGAAATGGTGCTCCTGTGCCGCAGGTGCCGGTGCAGACCGTGCTGGTGGTGCTGGCGCTGGCGTCGGTGCCAGTCCTGCTCCTGGGGACGCCGCTCTACCTGTGCTGCCAGCAACGCGCACCAAGGACGGGCCGCCCTGCGGTAAGGCTGGGGTCACGGTGGGGGGGGCTCGGCCAGGGGAACGCGGTGGGGTCTCACTGTCGGTGCCGTCCCCGTGCAGCTGGTGACCACGGAGGAGCAGGAGCCACTGCTGGAGGGGCAGGAGGCCGGCAGCTCTGTCAACGCCACCAAGGAGGATGTGGAGAGCGGGGGGCACGGCCCCGACGCCAAGGTGAGGGTTGCTGGCCCGGCAAGCTCGGGCGGTGGGGTGGGGGTGGTCGTGCCCTCCCACCCCGCTGACGTCCCGTGTCCCC